ACAGCATTCATGGTTTTGTAGTTAAAATGACAGGATTGTTTGTAGCTGACAACTGCAGGAAACTTAGTTTGACAGTCATGAGAGCTTTCTGTTAAACAGTATGTAACACACATTAATATCAAATTGTGTTGTGTACAATTAAGCATTTGTGCATGATGCAAGATACTTTGTAATAAAATACTATTCTTTCTATAAAGCTTCTACAAAGTTTGCTGGTCTTACATTTTCCTGATCAATGTGGCTTTGTACCACTAAGCAACACTCTGGAGCGTGTTTTGTGGCTCGGAGAGCAAGTGGCATGGCACAGCTCGCATCCCTCTCTCCTCCTTTCAGAAGTGTAATCATTAACACAGCCTTCCAGGAGCAGCCCCTGGCTGAAGTTATCCCCTATATCTGTGGGTGTAGAGTAGGGAAGTACCAGTGGGCTCAGCCTGAAGCCATCGCAGGGAAGCTGCTCCCGGTGGGAGGGTTGAACTATTCCCTAGGTCTTATTTATTTACTGGCAGAGAAGTAGCCAAAGTAGCCAGACTGGGCTTACTGCATCCTGGGAGGAAACTGGAGCTGTGTAGAAACGCCTACAGTATTCAACAGGTCTGCGTTGGTGTTGGCAATGAAGTGCTGGTAGTTGTAATGCTGGGGGAGGTGCTTGGCTGTTGCTGTGCTGGGTTTCATAGGTATAACTGACTTCAGGGAATTACCTAATGTAATTAATCCGTGTTTTCCTCAAAAAAAAAACAAAACAATTTTGTTGAGTGCTCTTTTCTGGAAATCATGGTAATAAAAATAAGAATTGCTTCAACTTGTGTAAACTAATTTGTTAGAAGTCGTGTCAAAAGAGAAGATTTGCATTTTAAAGCATTGTAGACTCATTAAAATTCTTCTCATGGATAATTAAAGAGAACTGGCTTAAAAGGAAAGTTTAACAGTAAGCGGCTCACAGCACTGCGACATTTCAAGCATGTTAAAATCAGAAAGAAACAGCTTTTGTGGCTGTAGTCTCCTCCTCTTGCATTACGTGTTGTTTTTTCCAACAAATAACCAGTTACCATCAGTTTCTTCTATTGTCCATGTTGCTTATTTATGCCCGACCCGCACAGTTCTTCAGCATATTTGTGACCAGCCTCAGAGGGTGTGTCAACATGCCTAACACTGGGGAGACTCTTAAGAAAAACCTACAAGATGAAAATGGGTAAAGTAGCTCAATTATTTATGTTAACAAACTGATTTTTGGATATTTTGGAACCTCACTTTCTCTTCTATTACCCGGTGGATCCATGAGGGCCTTGCATGCCTCACAAGGGCTCAGTCTAATGCAAAATTAGAATTATCCTTGAATGAGATGAAATGGTAATGAAAATTCTAAATGGTTTTATTCTATGCTGACTCCTGGTTTGGCATTAGTCCTAATTCAGTATGAACTGTGTTGCTTATGTCCTACCTGCATATATTAAATTGTATGGTGTTCATTTTCTAGCACAGAGGCTCTTAGCCCCAGAAGTAGGCTCAGCAGAAGTTTGTGCATAGCAATTCTTACAAAAAGTGTATTTAATTCCTGTGGCTCTGCTACTCGGAGCTCAACAAAAGTGTGGAATACTAGTTAAAAATACTGGCCAGCTACTAGAGTACTGTGCTCCAGCAAATTAAATTATTAATGTGAGATTGCAGGCCTTCTCAAGTAACAGAAGATAGCAAAGTTCTGGAAGTCAAGCAAAGAACAGTCGTGCTGCTGAGCCATTCCCTCACGGGTCTCCAAAGGATAGAGCAGTATTGAAAACTGCAAGTTCAGAACTGTCTGCTCTGCACATGCTACCATTCATTTTGTGTGCTCTGAATTGACTGAAAAAACATCCTTGTTGCAGCTATGACTGTAAGTCTTCCCTGCAGAAATGGAAGGGATAAACTTTAGGTGATAATTTGCCTTTGTTATTGATCTTCCTATCAGTGGCAACAGAACTTAAACAGAAAACCCATCTCTTAGATCAGGAAGTGGGGAACTTAGTTTTAGAAGAGTTTATTTCGAAGTTGATAATACTTTCTTACATGAAACAAACCGTCTCAGCTGCTCTTTTCTTTTTGTCCATGGCAGCAGAGTTTTTGAAAATACTTATTTCAATTATAGAAGAATGAATGATGCAGGATATGTTTTAATTTCTGCTTATTTTGTCAGTATTGCTGAGTAGTAATTATTGATTCCTACAAACATATCAGGCACACATTTGGTTGTTAAGTCTAACTTCACTTTGATTCAGATAAGAGCTTGCACGTTACATCACTTGGAAGATTTGCTTGATGTAATTGGATTTCTTGCTTCTGGAGTGCTGAAGTATTTAATGCTAAAGTTGACAATTTTTAATGCACCTCAAACTTGTAAGACAGTTTGCTTTGTGATCAGTAGAGGTGAATGTACACATTGACGTGTGAAAGTTAGAATTGTCAGTAAATCGGTGGTAATGCCTCTGTTCTGGTCCATGCGTGGTCCTACCTGTGAGGTGCTTACTGCAAAGATGGTGTTCTGGCTTTTTGTTGTTAAAACAAACAAACAGTACAGAAAGAATGTTAAAACATACAGAGGTTTACAAAATACGAAGTTGAAGTTTCTTGAATATTCTTTAAATTTGATAAAAAAATGTGCTTGGTGTGTGGTTTGTTCCTGAAATTCTAAGGAGAGAAAATTAGAGGCTAGAGCTCTGACTGCTTTCCATCCATTCAAATTCCCTGCCTTAAATACATTGTTTCTTGAAGAAGTCAGTGCATAGTTATTGTTTTCTAAGTAGCGTTGTCCACCTGGTGTGGTTTGAAGTTGGGTGAAGTTTCTTTCTTGGCGCTGGAAGCAGGATTTCAGGTGAGGAGAACCAGGCAAACAATATCTATTCCAGCGAGACGGGCAGAGCTAGAAAGAGCTTTTGTAAGGCTGAAATTCAGTGCGTCCTCAAAAAGGAGTGAGAGAGGAGGTAATGAGTTCAGCGTGACCTAACTGCTGGAATCCCTTTCACCCACATACTTCTCAGCTGTCTGTAAAACAAAAGATCAAAACATACAAGTTGTGGGGTTTTGTTTGGTTTGGGCTTTTTTGCAAATAGAGATCTGCTTAAGGTGTGTGCCAGCTGTGGCTTACGGCAAAAGGCCTTTCTGCTGTTATCTTTCTCTTTAGTGCTTTGTTCTTCATTAAACTTTTGTGTTGCTTTTAAATATCCCTTTGTGTGAAAAGAAGCTGTATTAATAAGTTGAGAGACAGTTATCTGGTGCAATCTGAGAAGACTGATTGTCAAATCAGCCGAATGTTTTTGCAAGAGTAGGCGTGTTTGCACTCATTTGTGGCCCCCTTCTTAAGTCTCATAAGGACACTGAAACTAATTGGAACCCAAATCTAACCAGTTCTTTAAGGACAAAGGGAAGTTTAAAATAGAGCAATAGGGAAAGTATTACAATATTGCCCCAATTAAAAAAAAGGATTAATTGGTAAATAAAACCAGTTATAATAGACAGTGATGCCCCTGTAAAGGACCACAAGGACCTCGTAGATACTTAAGGTAGGAAAAATTTTACATGTAATACAAAGTAGGATTTGAGGAACTATAATGTTACGTGCTGCTACTCTCCTTCTTTTCCTTATGCAGCAAGAACACAAGGAAATATTTCTTAAATGTCTGGGGTAATAATTAATAGCATCTCAGTCAGGAGATACAGAATTTCCCACTTAGCTATTTATGTTGCTTACAGGTTTCTATTTATCTGATGAGCTATCAAAGCTTTGGCACTTTGTAATGTTGATTTAAATTAGAGTGATTTCACCATCTTTGTCTCAATCTCTGACAGATGTGTGAGTCTTAATTTATTTTCTTGCACTCCCTCCTACCTCCTCTCCCCAGAGTTCTGTTTTAAAATGTTGGACTCAGCACTTGCAAGACACGAGAGAAACTGGGAAAGGATTACTCATAAAACTGGATCTGGGTGATGTTTAGTGGCTGAAGTTTCTGAGCAAAGTGCCAGGATCATTCAGGTTTTCAGAAGTACCCGTAGGTAATGTGACTGCCTGCTTTTTTGCTGAGTAAAGAATTGTCAGGTGATTACTTAATGATTTCATCTTGAATTAAAATGGCCCAGTAATGCCTGACTCCCAGTAGAAAGTGCTTTGGAATAAGCAACTGCAGACCCAAACACACTGCCAGAAGCAGCCCTGGCATAGGCTAAAGCTGGTGGATTGCATACAGACAGGTTGTCCTGGAAATCGGGTAACAAAAGCTGGGGGAGAATAAATTCTCACTGACTTGGAAAGGCAGAAAGGTTCTGCCATGGCAAAAAGTGCATGTTTTCCAATTCAGCCTCACTGTGTATTTCAACTAAGGTTTATTTTCAGTTGGGAAAGACTAAGGCAACAAAAGTACTGATTGAGGCCATACATGGGATCTTCTTTTATAGAATGGTTCCTCCAAATTAAGTCCCATGTTATGTCAGGAAATACTGTTCAGAAAACATTCTTGCTAATGGACTTGTGCAAAAGTATGTTTTGATCTGTTCTAGCTGGTCAACACTGTGTAACATGAACTCATTTTGGTCTAACAGGCATGCCAAAGTGACCTATCAGCTCCTGTGTGTGCCCTGCAGAGATTTTTGTGTATTAGTTTTGGGATCATGCTTCTGTTTGTTTGCCTAAGCAAACAAAAGAGAAAATAATCTTTTAGATAGAATTTGGGAATGTGCTGTGCCTACACTAATAACCTTGCACGATGTATGTAGGGTGCCAGCCTTAACAAAGTCCAGATTTCAAAAGCACCTTGGTTGTGATAGGGCATCTTAGCACCTGTATGGGAACTGCTGAGTCCCAGCCTGCCCCACTGATGGAGACCTGTGGGAAGGACCCGTCAGCCCTGGGAGCACAGGTGAAGGCAATACAGCTGTGTGAGCAGGAGTGGAGCCTGGCTGCACCTCTCTTAGACCCCATTGAAGGGCTGACTGGCACTGGGGAAGGATCTCTTCCTGGAGATCCTCCTTGGTGGAGATTTTCCCTGTGAACCTGGAATCTTCTGATAGAGGTGAGCAATTTTCTTCCCTTCCTTTATAGCACCTTTCTATTGTGCCAATCCTTTTGTCATTACCCCTCTGGTAAACCAGCTTTTCCCATCATATTGATGTGTCCAATTGTTACAGCACCAAACACAGCTCTGCAGCACGTTTTCTCCTTGCAGCAATATACTTAACAAGCTTGTGATTCAAGTAGTCCCACAGTGTTGTTTCAGTTTTACTCCAAGAATGCCACGTAACAATCTTTATAGAGTCTCTAATTAATTTTTTAAAAAGGTTAGCACCGTAAAAGAGCTGAAGTATTAAATTATATTAAGAACTGTATTCTTTCAGTCTGGAGTGATGGTCCTGTATAATGTTTGAGCAATAAACTGTTGATAAAAGAGAATTTTGCACTCTGAGAGCAAAAAGTCTCTCCAACTGCTTAGTTGGCTGAGGCAGGTGACAACTGCTTTGCACACAGTGTTACAAGCTTGGGTGCTTCTGAAGATGTCTGATGCATAGAGCTCCTCAGATGACATTTGCATGTTAAAATGCTGCCAGGGTGAGTCTAGAAGTTCAAACTCGCTGGTTGATTTTTTCACATTACACTGCTAATGTTTAGGGAGCAATTTATAAACCAAACCAGTATCTTAGACCTTATCTGGGTGGGAATAAAACTAAGGGATTTTCCTTTGGGAGAAATGGTTACTTATGATTATTTCAAGTTCTGAGTAGTCTCACAGGAGGTTATTCTGTTAAACTATCAATCATATCCATTTTCTCCTGAGGGCTTTTTTGCCATTATAGGCAAAAGTAACATTCAGTTGTCTTTTAACTAAGGCTTCATTTGTCTTACTTTACTAAAAAAGTAAGGATTGAAAAGCTTTAGTATTCAAAAAATAGTTAAATTTGCACTAGGTTTCTGCTTGCAAAATGCCATTTTTCTTTCAAATGGGAACATTTTTGAGGGTTGAGTGCTTCAAGTTGACACACATACTTTTAAGTGCTTTTGGATGCTTTTATTTATTTTTACCATCAAATATACCTTCCAGGACTGTTGCTCTTTACATTTCTTTAAGCTACCATTCTCCCACACAGCAAACATTCACCTTTTCAAATACAGTCTAATCCCCCTCTATATTTAAATTACTTTGTTTCTCATCAACATCTGCCTCCACCCAGCCAGTGACTATTTCCAGAGCCTAAGTCTCTGTTTATTGAACAAGCTCTTTCATGTTCTGCCCCATTATGCCATTAACAAGAGGAGAAACATCCTCACAGGCAGGCTAGTGATGATGCCTTATTTTCCAACAGCTGTTTTTGCAACCTGTGCCTCTGCTCTGAGACAGCAATCTGCAGCAGGGAAGAGCTGAGCAGGGGCTGCCACTTCTGATGAGTGAAGAACTGCAAAAACAGCTGTGTTCTTCTGTAGGGGCCTGGCTTGGGTGAGGCTTTCTTAAAGTGTGATTTCGTTGTGAATAACAACTAGCAATAAATTCTGGGATTGTGCCACGTATCCATATTCTATAAAATGGAGTTGTTAATGCAAGATACAAAATAATGTGTGACAGTGCTTGGTCCCACTGCTTGCTATTTGACTGCTGTGTTTAAAAACTACTTTGGAAGTTGCTTGTTACTTTTTTGACAGCTGGGAAGGGCATTGTTTGGATTTTCTTTTTCTGCGTGAACTTACCTTGTTACAGAGGAGAAGAACTTGAGCTTCACTAAGGATTCTTCCATTATTCTGAGGGAATTCTGTTGTTCTCAGCCTCTGAAGGCTGCTGATTCCCACTCGTTGTTCTATTAAATGAAGTCAAATCAAAGTCTGCAAGCTGAAGCCTTCACTGAAGGACAAGTTCTTTCCATATATTCAGACTGCTTATATTCGTTATCAGCTATGGCTATTAACTCTTAAATATAGATGTTGAGAACATGTACATTTCACTGGGTCATATTATTTTAATGCATTAGATTATTCATCAATAACAGTATGGTTTTGTAATATTCTGTAGTTCATTACTTTATGCACTTATTCACTTTTACACATTCCTTTGTTATTTAGATTTTTTGCTTCTGTACTTTGGAGTATGTTATTTTACAAACTTTGAGTTGATATTATCTGTTTAAATTTGTATTTAAATTTAAACCAGGGAATGTTAGTTTAATCCATGCAATAATCAGTTGCTTTGCATTTTTTGAGAAATATGTTATTATTATTATGAACTAAATCTGATTCTTTTCCAAGTTTTAAAAAGAGAACAAGAAAAGACCACCAAACCCTGATCTCATGCCTTCACAGATATCAACAGTGGTAACTGATAAGAAATGTGATATAAATATGCTGGTAGCGTGGTCAGGGTTAGGATTGATCGTCCATTCTTTATACTCACACAGCTGATGGCTTCTGAGAGTCACATTTGTTGTCTTCATCTTGTGTGTTCCATGATGTGGAATCTAGCATCCTCTCAGTAAAATACAACTGTCATCCTTACTGACTGAAGGCTTTTCCCTGTCTAACGTGATTGTAGAGCATGTGAAAGAGAAACAAAATGTAAATGTTCTTTGTTCATCTGAGCTGTATATTGATTTTCCTGTTTGTATTTCTTACTATTTTCCTGATGATTTTTTCCCCCCTTGGCTATACTGTATGTGGATTGCAGTGGATCCTGTTAGTACTCCTGGAGCTACATTTTTAACAGTTCTCTCTTCTTTCAGAAGAACGGCTGATGGACAGCCTGTCTGCAGAGATTTGCTGGCTGATTTTGAAGACCAGGAACAAACAGGTAAGATATGAAAGGGGATCTTTGGAAACGGAATTCTTTTGTAAAATGTTTAGTTGGAATCTATGCTAGTGAACAGTCTGAAAGTTTTTCAGGGCTGGGATAAGAGGATACAGCCAGAGAATCAGGGCTGTATCCTGATTCAGGTGAATCAGGGCTAGTGGAAAAAGTGTCACAGAATCACAGAACTACCAAGGTTGGAAAAGACCTACAAGATCATCCAGTCCAACCATCCACCTGTCACCAATAGTGCTCACTAAACCATGTCCCTCAACACAAAATCCAAACGTTCCTTTGAACACCTCCAAGGTCAGTGACAGGGAGCTTTCTGTAAGTTTGCATGAACTCAGTTAGCTTCTCACAGTTTTTGTCTGTATTTGTGACAGTTATCAGACAAAAATAGAAAGCTTGATCTTCATCAAATTTGCACTCATTATGGTCTTAGCTTTGGTATGACAGCCTGCTTACCAACTCTTAGCTAGGAAGGATTTGGCATCTAGTGTAATAACTGGAGGCTGCAGAGGAATATCTATCCTCTGATCCGTCCTGCGCTGTGTTGTAACATATACATCCTCCTTTAACTTTAAACCAGGTGCAGTATCAAGTAAAAAGAGTTCTGTTTCTATGTGGCCTAAGGGACATAGCCAGCTTCTTTGGAAAGTTTGCAGCCTTGAAGGACTTGCTATGGACAAGTGGAGTAGCGGCTGCAACTGGATCCTGAAGAAATGATATTTATGTGGCAGGTCATATGCAGGTCTACATGTGTATTCATACACACTTGTGTTCATATGTGTGAACAGTCTTTGAAAAATAAATTCTGTGATTCATGATTGTTTTCTTTTGTTGAATTTTTAAAAAATTTTATTGTAGTTGGAGTGTTTGGGGTTTTTTTGTTGTTCTCTTTTTTAACAATTGAACAGTAGGCATCTGCACTTTGAAATTTGTATAGGTAAAGGTGGCAACTACCTTTTATTTTCAGATGTTTCAGTGTGTTTTATTGAGTTATTTGACACATATTGGATGTGTAGATTATTACTGAGGCTGTAATTCTACAGAGTACTTATTTGCATGCTCGTGAATATTCTGACCTATTTTTCTAATAGTATTTATCTGGGACGATGGTTACTGCCACCAGTATCATCTGAGAGAAGCTAGTCTAGCTTTTTACTCAAAGGTAGGCTCCTTGCCTTGTTCAGCTGAGTTTTGAAAATGTCTAAAGATGGAGATTCTGCATTCTCTCACTTCCTGATCTTGATCTTAGCCACCTCTATTGTGAAATTAATTTTCTTCCTCTAGTAAGGAATGCAACTTTTCCTTGTTGCATCTTGTGTCTGTTGTCTCTTGTCCTTCTGCTGTGTGCCTCTGAGAAGAGTATCTCTTCTATAACCCCCTGCCATCTGTGTTAGACCCAACTCCTTCAGAGGCTTCTCTTATGGATTGTGCTCAAGCACTCTGAGTACCTGAATCCTTCCACCGGGCTTCCGTCAGTTTGTTACAATCTCTTGCTCTGGGACTTCCAAAGCTATATGCTGCTCCACTTAGCTTACGAGTACTGAGTAGGGGGACATAATCACTTTCTGAGATCTGCTGCCTGTGATCTTGCTAATGCAGTCAGAAATTAGCCTTTCAAGAGTGTAATACTGACTCTCATACAGCTTGATTGCCACCAGGAACCACAGGGATTTTTCTGCTGAGCCAGATAGTGTTTATTCTGTGTGCTGACCTGCCATTTATCACTGTTGAGCTTTGAGGCTTGCATCAGCCCATTGCTCCAGTTTGCTTGAGTCCATCAGAAAGGCAGCCTCACCCTTTGGCATGTTGACCAATTCCCCATATTTGGTGTCATTTTTGAAGCTGGTGAGGGTGCATTCCATTGTCCAAGACAGCAATGCAGTCATTAAAACAGTATTGTTTCCAGGACTAACCCCTGAAGAATGTCACTTCTAATTGACTGCTGGCTAGACTTGGAAATGCTGACCACTGTTCTCTGAGACTAATCATCTTGCCAGTTTTTCATTCACCTGATACTCCAACCGAACGGGGTTTGGAGGGTCCAAGCCCTTGAAGTCTGACTGCTATGGGAGGCCTGGTTAAAGACCTTGTTAAAGCAAATGACATGCCACTTCTCTCTTCCTCCCATCTACACAGCCATTGTGAAAGTCAGTTAGGTTGGACAGACTCAAATTGGCTTTGGCATATCCATTCTGGCTGGTCTCAGTCACTGTTTTATGCCCTACAATGATTTCTAGGAGGGTTTGTTCTACAGTTTTCCCCGAGGCGAGCCAGATTGCCCTGTATTTACTTGAATGCTCTTTCTCTCTGGTTTGGAGGTGATTGTGACATTTGCCTTTTTTCTGTCACTAGGAATCTCAACCAGATTGCTATATTTTTTTCAAAGGTGATGGAGAATAGGCTTGGGATGACGTGGGACCAGATCTCTGATTGTGAAGAAATGCATCTGGGGCCACAGACATTTTTGTATATGTCCAGTTTGCATATGAGGTTCCTACTTTGATCTTTCTCTGCTACTGTAGGTAGAACTTTTCACCTGCCACTAGTCACAGAGACCTGGGAAGCCTTTCAGTAAAGACAAAGGCGAAGAAGGTGCTGAATACATCATCCCTTTCTGAGTCCTGTGTCAGTAAGCTGCTCATTATATCCTTGGGTCTTCCTTTGTTTTCTGATGTGCACTTTGAAGCCCTTTTCTCATCCCTCACTTAACTGATTTTGAACTTTCTATCTCTCTATGCCTGGGCAGTGTCTCAGTAGTGATACTTCTCCTGATTACACCCTCCACACAGCTCCATTTTGGTGCTTTGTAATCAGTTTTAAGAGCATTATTGTTGTTATGAAGCTTATTTTATAACCAGCTGTTTTTTCTGCTGCACTGCTCCTCCATGTCAGTTTGCAGAAGCATTTTTTCAAGGGTATTTTATATCTCGGATCCACTGTGGTAGCATCTGCAGTGCAATACATTTTCTTGTGACTGAAAAATACTCCCTTTTCATCCACTGGAAAAGGTGAAAGCATCTGTGAATTAGAACATTAATATGGCTTGTTGGTTTTTCTAAGTTGAAAATAGTCCAGCTATTTTATTCAATGTAAAAAAAAAAAAAAAAAAAATTAGAGAGTTTAAAGCTACAAGTTTATCATGAAAAATTGATAATATAGCAGAATCCTATCTTCCTACCCTAACTGTGGGTTAGGCAAGCAGCAGGAAAAGGTGTTGGTTTGCTTTTGGAAAAAAAGTCACTCTGTATGTATTCTGTCTCATAGGAAGCTCTGTACCTCTTAGTTCAATCTGTTCGTTGACATGAGAAAAGTTTGGTGCAGATGCCAAGTTTTCTGACCCCAACTTGTTTGTAAACACTCATCTCCAGTTTTCACTGAGAAGAAGTTTAGCTTTCAGGGCTGAAAGCATGCTGAAGGAAAAAAAAACCATAAAAAAACAAGAAAGGTAAGAGGAGGAATGGATGACGTGTTTGTATTGTCAGCAGAATGTAATGGCATCACAGCTGTGGAATCTGGGATGATGACTGTCTATTAAAAAAAATGCCTCCAGCAGAGAGCTGAATGCCTACACCAGTCATTAGAGCAGAGTGATATTTTGCAGGAAGTGGCGTGTAATCAAAACAATGTTGTGTGAGTTAAAAACGGAATGAGTTTCAAGCAGAAATTAAATCATAGTTTCTACTTTTCAGGGCATATTTATGGCCTATCAATTTGAGCTGAGGTCAGATTACTAAGGGTGGTAGGTTAGGTTGTGGTTGGACTTAATCTTTAAGGTCTTTTCCAACCGAGTAGTTCTATGATTCCGTGATTCTATGCTGCAGGGACCAGAGAGGATGGAACTTAGAAGAATGGAATATCCCAAATTGGAAGGGACTGTAAGGATCATTGATCCTGGCTCTGTGCAGCACCACTCAAAAGTCAGACCGTATTTCTGAGAAGGGGCTCAGGGATTCAAGATTGAGTACCTGATTAAAATCTGTGTTGCTTTTTAATTTTATTTTATCTAATAAAACGTGTTGGTTTTTTTTTTTTAAAGCAAATACTTTCTTACCATCTCAAAGTGTGTTGCTGAGGAAATAAACCAAGGTTGAATATTAGTGAACAAAGAATGATTTGAGGGTACAAAGTGTAGTGCAGGTAGAAGGAGTTACTGGAAGGAATAGGACATAAATAGTCTGCTCTGATTGCTTGCTTCTGTTGTGGGTTTTTTTTCATTATGCTCTCTAAATCTACAGGTGTATCATGTATCAGTGCTCATAGTTTATTTAAAAGATCCTTATTCTGATCTCCTCTTATGTTTCAGATGGTGAGTTCATTTCCATCTTGGACATTGCAGTTTAGCTTTCAGCTGCTAGTGTGGCAGGACACCTATTTTGCTTTTCCCAAAGTATATAATCAGTTCATTCAGTGTTTAGCCAGGCATTCCTTCCCAGGCTCTTTCTGAAAAGGCTGAGCCCTTCACTTAATGTCCCTTTGCATACTGACAACAGAGCATGTTGTTCATTTTCTGCTGTTTTTACAAAATCTGTGGGAGAGAATTCTTAAGACTTTTTTTTTTTCTTTTTATTGAGACTTAACAACTATCTTTAGATTAAAGTTTTACTCATAAATTCATGTGAGTACAGATACTGAATGAATGTAAAAATGGATTTTCCATAGCAGTATATAGTCTGTTATTAAGGTGACTTGCTGAGTCTGTGACACTAATTCTGTTTTTAGTCTGGATATGAATACATTGCCTACCAAATGCCTGCAGAGAAAACACTGTCATTAAACAACTTCTGTAATGTTATTTGAGGAACAATACTGATGTTTTCAGTTCACTTGGAGAGACACTGACAAGTGGTTTTTTAATAATTTTATTTAAATAATATGCAGACTAGAATGTTGTAATTTAGCTCTTTGTGGTGTGATTCTTGTTTTCAACAGAGCACTCGCCCACCTTGCACACCCACACCTGTGATCCCTCCCATCTTAGTTGATTTAGAAGCCAGAAAGAACATCAGAGTTTTTCATCCAGACTTTGTGACAGTGTGGGAAAATAAGCATTTATATTAGCAATAGCTTCCTTCCCTGACAGATTTGTTTCATCCTCTTCACACCAGGTCTGGGGTTATGTGCAGAAATACCTGTTTTCCCTCTCCACTTATAAAATGCTCAGTGGGTGCCACTGTTTACACTGTGGAAGTCTCTCTGTCCATTACTTAGCGTCTTCCATTACTGTTTGTTTTCTGAAATACCTGGATTTATGGAGCCTTTTATCCACTGACCTTAATACACATGACAGTATTGGGTAAAGCTCCACACCTCTCTTTTAAAATTGTTATATGCAATTCATACATGAGAAAATGAAGGCAAATTGAGATTAAGCCTTAAGATTTGTGTTTATGGCTGTCACTATTCATTTACTGACAATCAGAACAAACACAAGGCTATGTGTCAGGATCTGAATGCAACATAATATGAATCAGGAACAGTAATCTCAGATTGATACGGCCACAGCTTTGATAACTGCTTTCACTTTCTGCATCAGAGCTTGTATCCTCTTGTCTGGGGAGGGATTAGAAAAGTAAATCAACTGTTTTTTTTTCAAAATGATGTCCACATGCTGGGATATAGCATGAGGGCACTGAAATTTTTGGAGTAGTTTCACAGAATTGTGACAGCAAGGTAGGCTGGCTGTGCTATTTGCCTCCTTAGTAGGAACCTTGTTCAGAAACACTGTTTGGAGCACTGGAACAGGCTGCACGGGGGGTTGTGGAGTCTCCTTCTCTGGAGATGTTCAAGTCTTGCCTGGACACCTACCTGTGTGACCTGGTGTAAGGAACTGCTTTGGCAGGGGGGTTGGTCTCGGTGATCTCTAGAGGTCCCTTCCAACCCCTACAATTCTGTGATTCCATGATTCTATGAACTGAACCTTGTTCAGTTGATTGAGAATCTGATTTTCTATAGTCAAGTTACAAGGCTTTTTGCTGCAAAGAAATTTTCTAAGTGAATATTTATGAGCTTACAGTAGCTTCATATGCCTCTGATTATCTGTGCAGGTAGGCTTAACTTGAGGGAGGCTGCAGGTGTGTCCTAAGCAGATCCAGATATGATGGACATATATAATGTATATGCAATATCTGTTTTATATATAATATATATTTTACATATATATAATGTGTATAACAAGTGATGCACAGGCAGTTGCTCACCACCCCCTGACCGATGCCCAGCTGGCCCCCAAGCAGTGGAAGAAAGTGAGATGAACTCCCACCCCCTTCAAAACTCCTTCCTCATGATGTGACATGGTACAGAACATCCCTGTGGCCAGTTTGAGTCAGCTGTCCTAATTCTGTTCCCTCCCAGCTCCTTGGGCCCTTAGCTGTGGATAGGCATGGCTCTGTGCAGCACCACTTAGCAGCAGCTATCAACACCGCTGTGTTATCAGCATTGTGTTTCTTCTAGAACCAAAACATAGCATCATATCAGACTCTGGGGAAAACAATTCTGTGTCAACTGAAGCTAAGGCAATCAGAAATTTGAAGCAGTCGTATTTTGTTATGTTTATTTCTTACAAAGCTGAGCTATTTTGTCTGATTTTCTTTTTTATTCCACTTCTTTGTAGAATGTTTTTAATGTTCACGTTGAAAAATATTTCTTATTTGGAAAGTGAATCTAAGGGGAAGAATGTTCTTGCACTGTTTCTTTCTGAAGAATGGGAACTAGCAGCTATTTTTCAGGGGAATTGTGTGGGTTTTGTGGGCTTTTTGTTTGGTTTGTTTGGTTTTCTTTTTAAGAACTCACCTGAATTTCGGCAATTAACTAGCTCCTAAATTCTCTTAGAATTGTCTTTGTATTAAGTCTGCTTCCTGCTGGGTTTGCAGCAGCAAAGATGCAAGCCAAAATCTTTGAGGCAGTCATTAGCTGTGAATGCCAGATACTGCTACAGTCCTTGGAGCATCCATGAAAGCCAAGTGACATGAGGTGACTCCCTGCTTGAGTCCTGTCCTGCCAAGGAAGCAGGAGAAGGATTAAAAAAGAGCAAATGACTGGAAAGATAATTAGAATGAGGGAGTCGAGAGAAGGAGGCAAAATATGAAATAGGGCAAGATGGTGGTAAGTGGAGGTGAAGATCTACGTGTGGGTTGCTCCAAAAGTAACATTCCCATGGAAATAAATAGGAAGTTACAACAGAAACAAAGAGCACAATAACACTATTTGTGGGAGCAAATTCTCAGCTACAAAGCACTCCTTTTCAGCACAGTCACTTCCATTAGCTGTGCATTTTCACCAGTGATGAACAAGAGCCTGCATGCCGTGCTTGTAAAAGTCTGCGTGGGGGGGGGGCCGCTGTTGCTGCAGTGCTTTTCAGTAATATACCCTCACAATGCTTTCCTTTCCAGAGTCTTTGTGGACTTCCTTTGCTGATGGCAGAGTCAGACTGAGGATAGATAACTCATGTCCGCAGACTCCCATAACAGTTCATCAGATGTTCAAGGAGAGCCTCGAAAAATACGGATCTCTTAATGCTTTGGCCAGCAGAAAGAATGGAAAGTGGGAGAAGATAACTTTTTCAGAGTACTACTGCTTTTCAAGGAAAGCAGCCAAGAGCTTCTTGAAAGTAGGTACAGAGAGCAAAACCAATTCCCTTTTCTCTTTGTCTCCTTAAAAAACAAATTGCAGAGGTTTCTTTTTTCTTTTTTGTCCTCTATTAACTGAAGATTGGCAGACACGTTCTTTATTGAAATAATAAAGGTACAAATGGTTTTGGTCTAAGGATGATAACACTGCTGCCGTTGCAAGTGTGAAGCTGCTGTTTCACTCAAGTGTAGGTACAATGCTCAGCATAGGGCTTTAAGGTTAAGAGAAAGATAGGTGGAAGAAAAAAACCACTTTGTCAAGATGAAGAGCAATTCAAAACCACTCTGAGCAGAGGCTAAGGCTAGCTCTCGTGGTGCTTCTGTCCACATTGGAAAGGTCTGTTTTTCAGGCCTGTCTCAGCAGCAGAACTTGAGCAGGCAGGAGGGATGGTGAAAAGTTTAGATGATGTTTGTTACTGACAGCTTCCAGTTCTGCCACGGATATTGGCATAGAGCTGGGGGTGGACGTGCCTTGTCAATGCTGGAGTAATACAACTTTCCATCATTTGTATGTGTTGTCATTTTTTGTGCTATATATTTCTCTCCAACATGCCTGTATTGTATAACCTTATGCATATTATCTTTAAGCTTGGTCTTGAGAGATTCCACAGCGTAGCAATCCTTGGATTTAATTCTCCAGAGTGGTTCATCTCAGCCGTTGGAGCCGTGTTTGCTGGGTATGGTTGTTTACTTTGCTTTTGTGTAGGAATGTCAAGGTTTCTGTTTTGCTAGGTTAGAAATTTGGGAAATTAGCACTTGGTGCCACATCCTGGACGCTGTGCTGCAGCTGCTGAGCGTGTTCAGCAACCTGCTGGAGTCTCATAGCTCTCAATGTTATTGGGATTAGTCTAGACACTCATAAACGAAACCTGTGACATCTGCACAGTCTTTTGTCACTAGAATGTGGGAAACAGATAAGACTCCCCATTTTGTGATATGTCTGCAATGCAAATATTGCAATGTAAATTCAAGTGAGCAGAGCAACAGATGAAATACTCGCTTTTTTAATTCCTTCTGTCCTGACATATTTTAATGCAACTTAGATTTTACCTCTCAGTTTGTTCCTGTGACAGTGAAATTCAAACTGATAATTGCATGCAGCTTGAACAGAAAGAGGACATGTGTTTTTTAACCACTTTCTGAGCTAACCCCACTGCAGCCTTAATCAGGCAAAAATACTGAATCCTAGCCTACAGCATCCTCTACTGAATTAAATTCAGAGATTTATTTTGCATATATTGTTCATGTATATGTGAAAACTTGAAACAAGCATGATAGCTGTGATAATGTGTACTTCCACATCTTTATACCCCTCTTAGCTTTCATCTGATATCTTATTATTTGCTTTCTGCATATTATATACATCTGTGTGTGTGTGCATATCAATATAAATGTTTCAATATATGCATAAATATATATATATACAAATTTTGGACCCAGAGGAATTGTCACAGGAATATACACAACCAATTCTCCAGAGGCCTGCCACTACATTGCTTATGACAGCAAAACCAACATCATGGTTGTGGAAAATCGGAAACAACTGGACAAGATAATGCAGGTATGAGGAGGCAAAGCAGTTACTTATAAACTGTATTTTCCACCCTTCTTGATGCTGTATTGTTCCCAAATCCCATATTTGGTACCTGTATCATGGAACCTTTCTTGGCAGAATAAGTTCAGAAGTCTGGCATCTGGCATGGGTAACCACAGCAGCAATGGTCAGCTTTCAGCTTGACCTTGCCCATGCCTTGATATGTACAAGAGAGCGTGCTGAAGAGCCATTTTGGTGTAATTAATAGTTAAATCTTCTGGCTGAGAACAGTCTTTCTAGAGCAGACTGTGTATCTTAGCATCTTTTTTTTAAATGAGATGGTTATGAATTAGGGGGAAATACTTGGCAGAGGAGGGAAGTGGGAGGTTTCTTCTGTCAGCCCAATTACTGTTTTGGCAGTACTTCAGTGGGGAAAAACACAAGATATGAATAACAAATTATAATAATTATTTTAAAAAAATCTAACAGATCTGGAATCGTTTGCCACACTTGAAAGCTGTTGTGCTATACAAGGATTCAGTTTTGGAGAGACACCCAAATTTGTATACGGTATGTGAGCGCTGGGACAGTTATTATTCTTAAGGCATTAATTAGTTGAGGAATTTTAATTATCTTTGATCTGTGGAATGTCTGCCATTCAGAATGCATTGCTGTCTTCCAGCAAATGTATTCAGAAGCTTCATGAGTGTATTTAGCTGTTTAGCTTACATGTAACTTCATGTTTGATGCTTGACGTTTAAAGTGAGAGCTACCTTGCTTAGTTATCTTTTGTGTTAATGTTGGTTTGTTTGTTGTTGTTTGTTTTTCAGTTTTGAGTAACAGAACACCTGTAAGTTTCTCAGGTGAGAAAGTGAGCTCTTACCATTTAAAAAATGTGGTCTGCCAGCTCTAATCAAATCTGAATTGTGGGTAGTTGCACTGGATGCAAGAACATGATAATGCCTGTACTTTTACAGATGATATTTACATCTCATTTGCACCAAACTTCTGGTGTCAGGCAACATGTGAAGAGAATGGACTACAGGCTACATAAAGAAGGGTACATTTTCTTAGCATATGCAGAATCTTCAGTTCACATGGCAAGAATAAAGCAGTAAAGGGGACAAACTCAGGATCAGAAAATTGAGTAGAAGTTTAGCCTTTAACCTAAGCAGAAAATACCTTTATAAAAAAATATTTTTAGTGTATTTTGAAAATGTAATTGAAAACAATTATGTAAGAATACAAAAACCTCCTTTATAAGTGCACTACAGATTATCAGAATCCAGTCTGAAAAATGTCTAGCAGCATCAAACTGCTTACATTATCTCATAGCATGTTGTTTATAATCCACAATGTTACAGAACTGCACATACTGATATGGAATACTTCTACATTTAGTACAAGAAAAACGGAAGAAGATATTGCTGCTTATATTGCCTAGTGAAAGGAGTAAGGGCTGGCAGATAATTCTGGAACAGCACTTGCTGAAACCTCCACGCTTGAGATTTTTGAAGAGAGAATTAACGCATGGTTTATTCTGTTACTGAAAGATACATTTGAAATCAACCCTGTGCAGGTGTGTTGGACATATATTCTCCACAGAAAGGGGTAGCTGTGAAGAAGTCTGACAGTTGCCGTAGTTTATATTGTGCAAAGGAGAAACTGGAGATCCAATTTCCAAAGGCAGAAATGATTATTTATCATTGTTGATCTAAGGTACCTAAGCCACATGACGTGATAAAAGGGACTGCTGTTTGACAGCTGAGATGTAATGAGCAATTGCTGCAGTAAGGACAGAGGTGTAGTTCTCTTATTAGCATGTGTTTCCAGAAGGCAGACATGGTCAGTAGCGTTTGTGGCTGCTTGTACCTTTTGTAGTCTGAAACAGGAGCACTCACTGTTGCAGGTACTGTTCCATAAACAAAGCCTAGGCAACAGATATACAGTGATTAACACATCCTGGTATGACAAGACAGTAAGGTCAGGAAAGTAGGAGCAACTGTTAAGTCACGTAGAAACAGTTACACCCTTGACAACACCAAACTTTCCAGAAGCTAGTTAAATAAACAGAGTATTCTGTGGGAAGAGATAATGTGTGATGAGTCCTTCCCTTACTGTGGAGCTGTGCTTTGTACTTACTCTCTTCCCGGATAGCTGATTTGGTAGAAGAAAGTATAAAACTTGGGACTGGTGGTTAGCAGCATCGTAGGACAGCACTGACACCCCAGAAGAGGAAGTCTAGGTGCCACAGAAGGAAGTTACTGCAACCTTACTAGCACACTGCCAATGGCAAGGAGAGGTTTGAGAGAAAGAATGAACTTCCCTTCAGGCAAAGGGGGAGATCTTGCTCTCTGCTGTCCTTCACGTCACCCCCTGTACAACTTCATGATCCTAGATATGACCTCTAAGAAACTGTGAAGAATGGAGATGCTGCTCTGTCTTGCTCTTGGATAACATAGTTCTGTAGCACTGTTTGAATCACCTGATCTCGATGGGAAACTGACCTTTTGTAACTGGCTTCCTTAATTTTTAATATACGCTAGTTTTCAGTTAGCACGGAGATCAACAGTATAACTAGCAGGATATTAGGTACACGTGGTAGATGTGTCCTAGAACAACCAATGAAACAACTAATGAAGTGTACAGGATAAAGCTCATCATGCTTCTCAGACCACTTTGTGCTGCACAAAAGTCCAACATCATGAAAGGTTTAGTTCATTCCAGACTGAAGCAATTTTGAATGGAAGCTGTGATCAGCATCATATGTTCTGTTTGCTGTTAAACAGCAGGGAATTGGGGTAAGCATTCATACATCTAGATGATGCTTTTGCCCAGAAGCTTTCATTCTTTTACTACATTTACGTAATGGACAGGGAATTATGAGTGGAATGTTGCAAGTGTGCTTCTAAAAACGTAGACCCAGATTCCTTTGGATAAGTCATTATCATTCTAGGTGTGAGACAGTAACAATTGTATTCTCTATGACTTCTACCTAGTATGCATCTTGGATGAGGGAATAGTAATACAATTTCTTTTGGAGATGATGAAAAGACTCATAGCAGCATAATTTCAGATAGTCTGTGTGCAGATTGCACATAAAGTTATACAGTATTCTTATTGAGTTCTTAACACAGGCAGCTTCTGGGGAAACTTGCCTTGGAATTGTGTTCAGAGGAAGACATTGAACTTTTCTGTTTGTTTGTTTTTTAGACAGATTCAGTAACTTCATGTTTTTGACTTGCAAGGAGTCTTATGATATCCTGTATTTTCTGTTGCATGTTCTAGATGGAAGAGTTTCTGAAGCTGGGAGATGACATATCTGATGCTACTTTAGATGACATTATTAACTCCCAAAAGCCGAATCAATGCTGTGTGCTAATATATACATCAGGAACAACTGGGAAGCCAAAAGGAGCTATGCTGAGTCATGACAATGTATGTACTTCAGACTTTTCCTTGAGCACAAGAAATAGCAAAATAAGAGGATACATGTTCTTGTGTTTTGAAAAGACTGCTACATAGCAGACTTTCAGAGGTCTAGTTTTGCAACACAGATATGTGTATTACAAAGCAACACTGAAAATGCAGTCAGCTGGTTTTGATGATGTATAAGCATGGTGAAAAATGAAACTCCATTCTAAGTAACACTTCACAAGTTTGAGTGTAGTTTATTATGAATAACATTTTGTTACTCACTGTCACATCTCTTAAAAGAATGCAGAAGCAATTACAGGTACGAGCAATTCACTCCCATGTATGTAATCAGCACAGAAATATCTTGAAGGAGAACATGGTGGACTTGAGAGACAAAAAGTCCGACCTGGCGTTGCAAATTCTACGCTCTTCTGTCTCAAAAGAGTCTGGTGTCATTTCCATGTTAGCTGCCAAACTATTCCTGGCTGATGATCACAAACAGGCTATTTTTATGTTGACCAACAGTGGAAAACATGCCTTGCCTCTATCTGCTGCTGCCTTCTTTAGTCAAAAGAAGTGAGCCACTGTCCATCTGTAAAAACCAGTGCTGAGTCGGTCACAGGCACTCATGTGGATCTGCTATGAGCGTGCCTGTGTGCTGTGAGGCTTTGGAGGATAAAGAGGATGAGCAATCCGTACAGACACGTTTCAAGGACATTCCTCTCTGCCTACTTTAAGTCTCTGATAGCTGCTTGACCAATGCTGCCGCCTAAATTTGGAGTGGCCTGTCCTGACAGCATGCTGCTCACTAAAAGCTTTTCTTGAGAATCTCTATTTTTGTTTGTTTGTTTGTTTGTTTTTTAGGCAAAACATACTCTCAAGGTAACCTTCACATTTGTTTTGAAGAAAAGAATATACTGTGATAGCGAGTATTGCACGTGATTTGTATTTTTTTCCCTTTCAAGTTGAAATAATTTCCTTTCGAGCATCCTAACCTAGCTAGTTTAGATTAATTAGACTCCTGTAAGGAAGCTGTTTCCTTCTTTCTGTCATGGACATATGTTCTTTTCCTCACATCCACACATCTGTGTGGGTCTTGAATGCAGTACATTCTGATAACAAATATTGCATCCTTCAACTGCATCTTAGATAAAATAAGAATCAGAAAGAAGAGGGGGGAAAGACCATACAGTTTCACTAAGAAGTCAAGCAGAAAATCTTCAGCATTATTCACACATGTGCTTCTGCTTGTATGTAAGGGGGAGGCCCTCTATGAACCATTGCAGTGAACCTTCTGGAGGAGCAGGATACTGCTGCTACCATCCTCGTTTGTGCTTAGCCGTGCTATGACAAGTATGAGACAATTAGCTTGTTGCAGTTACTTCACTATCCTGCGAGCTCATTGATCACTGAGTAAAGATTGTTATTTATCAGGTGGGCATTTAGATGCATGCCAGTGAGAAGTGCCAGTGTGATAGGAAGTGTGCACAGGAGGGAAAGCTGCAGAAAGCTGATCACTTTTTCTCCTTATCCATCTAGGCTGTGGCTGCCTTCCTAACTGCAGTACTGGGGTGTGGGGAGTTGGTAGTGTTCATAAGCCAGTCAAGCACATTTACTTTGTTATGTGCAAACCTTTGTTGCTATTAGATGAGTTCATGTTGCTTTTTGAGTGGCACCAGAGGAATAACAACCTGGTGTGTTGTCAAAGATTGCAATGTCTTCAACAAGTTCTGTGAGCAGATTCTTCATAGTTTTATTAGCGTATCATGAAGATCCTTAGTTTGTGTTAAAAGGAAAAAATAATGTGTTGTATTTTTTCTTCAAATAGATAACGTGGACATCAGCACATTGCAGCAGAGCAGGAGATATGCAACCTGCAGAGGTCCAACAGGAGTCCATAGTCAGTTATCTTCCACTCAGCCACATAGCTGCACAAATATACGACCTGTGGACTGGAATCAAATGGGGAGAGCAAGTTTATTTTGCTGAGCCAGATGCTCTGAAGGTATCTGCCTTGCACTGCACCTGATTAAGATTGCACTTATCAATCTAGGAAAACATCTGAAGGAGGAAATGTGATCTTAGAAGAGGCACAGAAGATAAAGATCGAGAGTCTTGAGAGTCCAGAATTTTAGGAATTACAGAAAAATAAAATCCATTAGACTCATGATCCAGTGCTCTAAACTCCATTTACTTCTGTGGTGAAATTGCATAGAAGGAGTCTCTTTCTGCAGTTAGGAGTGTGTCTGGAACTGGTCCTTTGCCTGTCCCCACAGGAAACTCATAACTGATACAACAGAGCTTGAGAAGAAGTCAGTTCCAGTATTTTCCCTGATTAAACAGCTAACTTAATTTATGCTCACAATATTCTGAATGTGTGCATAAAATTTGTAGTCTAGATCAATAAGCTTCTATTTTAGGCAGACAAATGTGGCTCTACTGTGAAAGAAGTGTAAGCAATTTTCTGGGGGAAATGTAGAGAGAATGCAGGCTGCATTACCAAACCTCTGCAGCGATGTGGGCCTTCTGCAATGTTTTGAAATGATTTGATGATTTTGACAGGGCAGTTTAATCAACACACTAAAAGAAGTGCAACCAACATCTCACATGGGAGTTCCCAGAGTATGGGAGAAAATCATGGAGAAATTAAAGGATGCTTTTGCTCAGTCAGGATTTGTGAAGAAGAAAATGCTGTCATGGGCTATGTCAGTGAGCTTAGAGAGAAACCTGAACTGCTCAAGCAGGTATGTATTGTCATGAGAGAGGTCTCCAGCATCCTGGAGTACAAGAAAGTAGCTTGTCTGTCATAAGCTCTTAAGCATCAATGATACTCTTTACATATAAATAAGTAATATTTGACTTAGCAAGAGAGCAAATACAATGTAAGAGGGAAGGTGTAGCTGTCAATTACAGGAGGCTAATCATAAAACCAACCTCCATCTTCCCTGAGAATGCATTGCCTAACTTTCTGCCTTCTGGGAATTGGACTGGTTGGTTTTCAGCTGGGAGAAGTCCTGGCTGCTTACTGGTTTAGGTAAAGGGCAAGAATTTGAGTGAACTGTGTGAAAAAGGGGAAAATCTTAATTCACAATTCTTTCCTGTTCTGAAGTTCTTAAGATGGGACACAGTGAAGTATGAAATGACTTACAGAACATGTGATTCTCAAATATGCGGTGCATCGATGGCAATTTGCTTGTCTGATCTTTTAGCTTCTTGAAAGAGTCTTGCAGATTTCTGATTTTACTGGTATTGGTTCTCAGAGATTATTTTAACTGATGAAGAATCAGGAGGACAAAAGTATTGTCTTATGCAATATGGTTTTGTAGATGCATTCTGAATTAGCAGTATTCAGAAGCTGTAAGAGTTGGTGCTCACTTGCAATGAAAGACACTGAATAAGTGAAGAATGAATTATTACTGATGTGAGTCTGTCAGCTTCCACACATTAATGACAAATACATATCTAAAAAAGCCCTGTTTCTGATTTTGTCTTGCTAACTATATGACTTCATCCAACTTACTGTCTCCTCCTGTTTCTTGTTTTCTACTCAGCAGTGACTTGAAACAGTTTTGGACAAGGCTAGCAGACTACTTGGTGCTTGCTAAAATACGCAGTGCACTGGGTTTTTCTAGCTGTCAGAAGCACTTCTGTGGTGCTGCTCCTCTCAATACAGAAACGCTGTATTTTTTCTTGGGTCTGAACATCACCCTGTATGAAGCCTATGGCATGAGTGAGACCACAGGCCCACACTGCCTCTCAGGGCCATATAACTACAGGCAGCACAGGTAACTTTTCAGTTATTATATTTCATTATATTTATGAGAAGTGTACAACTGAGTTCAGCAAAGATGTTACCACTTTGAGGTCAGAAACTGAACGCATTGCCTCCATAGCATGCCAAGTCAGGAGCACTGAAAATGATCTACAGCATTTTCTGCAGCACAGTTACTAAGTGGGATGTGTAGTGTAACTCTGACCTATGGTAGGATAACTTTCAAAACAAAAACTTTAAGATACAGAGAGGAAAAGAGCAGGAAGGATGAGCAAGATACACAGCTATTGTGTTAGCCCCAGTAAGTTATTTCATTCCTTTCAAACAGTTACAGCAGGGTGTTACTATTGCTTACATTTTGATAGGACCAGGGAGTTGGCATTGTAGATGTCCTATCAATATTAAGTATTTCAGTGCTCCTTGTGTGTTTTCTTGCTTTTCCCCAAAAGCTGTGGTAAACCAGTACCTGGCTGCAGAGTGAAATTGGTGAATGAAGATACAGAAGGCAATGGAGAAATCTGTTTCTGGGGAAGGACTGTTTTCATGGGTTATTTAAACATGGAAGACAAAACAAAAGAAGCCTTTGATGAGGATGGGTGGCTGCATTCTGGAGATTTAGGAAAACTAGACAAGGATGGCTTTCTCTATGTCACTGGAAGAATTAAAGGTATTGAGGAAAATCTTGCATCACATTTATAGTAACTATCCAGCACTGTTCAGTTATATATTAGATGTGGCTTGTCTCATTTAGTGACTGTCTTTTAATCACAGCTGCATTAATCTAACAGAAAGGAAAATAAGCTTTCTGATGAGGAGACCATAGTGTTCCCCATTCAGGAAAGGTTTCCTTCTAGTTTTTAACAGGTGCAGATACCTCAGTTCCTACAGTGAGGCTGTCCATCTCCCAGACCTTGTTATTATTAATCACAAATAATATAAAATCATAATGCAGGTTTAGTGTGTCTTCTTTGATTCTAATGATCCTCTAAGCTGTCCAGTCTCCTGGATCTTGCTCAGTTGTCTTAATTGCACACTAGAATGTTTAGTTGTTAACAGCAGGCAACTCTATTATGTAACAGTTATTGCTGTAGGTCAGAGCTAGATTCCTCTGCTTTTTGTGATACATTTACAGAGAATAGTATTGAAATTTGAGAGCACAGGACAATAAACTTAGGTGCTCTTACAGTGCATAGCTTGAAGTCTCACATGAATAAAACTGCTCATTGGTTACTGAAGTACTTTCTCAAAATACGTGCTCATAGAGTCTGATTTGTCAGATGTGTAAACTTGAGATCTAAAAACTGAGTGACTATCATCATAGAATGTATGATGAATCATTAAGGGGATGACATGAGTGAATTAATTTGTCAGAGAGTAACATGGTGTTCTATTAGGCACCAGGACTTAAGTAGGTACTATTAATGGGCTGCACCAGATACAGTTACTTTGATTCTTAGTTTGCTTTCTTATCCGATTCAATTTTGCTTAGTTTAGTGGTTAGCACCTTCTAGTCTCCTTCTGCCCTAACATTTGTGTTGCACTCACATCTTCCTTCACTGCTGAACTAACAACTGTTGCTCTACTTTCAGGTTAGGAAGACTGAGATAAAAGAACCACCTGTGCAGTTCACTTTTAGTTTTAATGTCTAACTAAGGTAAATGCAATAGAAGATAGTAAAGGAGCTTCTCCTCTAGTAACTGGAACAGGACTTCCTCCTTTAATTCCTTTGGTCTTACAAGTTTTATGATTTGTTATATTGAGCATGAAACCATAGAAACTGCTTTTTGCTACCTGAGATCCAGAGAAGCTGCGAAGCACAAAGATACTGCTAGAGAAGCCCAGATAGGGAGTATCTGTAGGCATGTGCAAGAAGTTGTTACAGTGATTACAGTTCTGTTGTCAGCTGCGACAAAGCTGACATTTCAGACTGAAAAATAAAGTTTCCTGGAGCTTGTGAGAAGATTTAGGACAAAAAATTGGAGTAAGACAAAAGGAGAGGAAAATAAAGATCTCTGTAGTTTACACAATAACTTTGCTGTATTTCTGTGGTGTGACAGAAGTCTTTTACTCTAGAAACACTATGCATGCTTCCTCTGATGCATGCACTATGTTAACTAGGGAGAGAAATAACATTCATAACTGTGAAATGAATGGCTACTCCATACCAGAATGCTGAGTGTAGACTGGAAGTTATTTCTCGTAGTTGCTCTTTATGGAGCAGTAGAGGTGTTAAGGATTAAATGTGTGAGTGCTGAAAGGGTGCCATATTTCCTTGATTACATCTACATTCTTTTACACTGACAAGGGAACCAAGAGGACTAAACAGAACCAACCCATTCCTTAATGTATGCAGTAAGATGGATTATTCCACACAGGACTGGTCTGCCATTGCTCTGCATTAATTCTTGAAGCATGTTACTGAACTGCTGCCAAGACCGTTATTTGAGGGCAGTGAGAAGCCACCAGTGCAATGAAAACAGAACTGCAATTTGCTTAGATAATTCTCAATTTCACAATGGTTTCAATAATTACACATATTATACTTCAGAATTAATGCATTCAAAAAGAGCTGAATATTCCCTTATCAGTAAAGTTAGTGCCTCTATTGTTTACAGACCTTAAAAATATTAAGTTGTCAGTTGTCATTAAATGCAAGTCATGTCAAAAGTAGGGCAGGAATGACTGCTTCCATCCTGAACTGTCTCTAAAATCTCACCTATCCCTCATCATGCTCCTCTTTCTGCATTGCTTCTGTGCAGCTTTCCTACACTATTAACTTGTTTTTGTCTGACCCCTCTTGGTGGCTCAGAGAATTAGCTTTGATCACGATGTTAACCATGAACTGCTTTTGGTGAGTTAATGGTGAATTAGAGAGCGAATCCTATGTTAGTCTGGAAGAAATGATTGTTCAAAAAAAAAAAAAAAGTCCACATTATACAACATGTTGCACGTGTACATTGGATATTGCACTGCATATATATACATATATATATATATGCCTGTTGTTAACCTGTTACTGGATTACACGGAAAACATTATGCTGTTTAAAACTCACACTGTGTGTATGTGGGGGTAAATGTGTTATATAGAGGGAAAAATGAACATTTAAGCAGATCCTTGGAAAGAATCAATATCTACAACAGTTATTTTGAAGACAGTCAGACTAACAACTTGAAATAGGCTTGCTTCTCTTTGGAAAGTATTGTCTTCTGCATATAAAAGTAAGAAAGGTAGAGCCATCCTGGAATTAGCCTGCTCTTTGAAATTAGATTTCAAGTAATAGCCTTTCTTTTTCTTTTGGTCTAGATTTGATTATTACAGCTGGAGGTGAAAATGTGCCTCCCATTCCAATTGAAGATGCTGTTAAGAAAGAACTCCCAATTGTTAGTAACGCCATGGTGATTGGAGATAAAAAGAAATTTTTGTCCATGTTGCTGACCCTAAAGGTATACCAGTCTTCATACTGATTTCAGTGAAACTACACACCTGTACCCTAACAAAATAAGAAGGATTCCGAACTGTTAGAAGGAAGGCCAAGAATTAAATGGGAAGGCTTTATTTCAACAAAGCAATGTATGGCAACTACAGGTCAAACTGTGACGGTCTGATCTTGTTATAGTTAGGTGATTGGCTAAACGTTTTATATTTAAAAGTTCTAACTTCAAACAATGCTTCTGATTCAAGTTATTTACATTATATCACGGTAATTCAATGTCCCCCTACAACAATGGACTAATTTGGAAAAGTTGGTAGAAATTTAAGGTTGCTGGACGGACTTTAATTGATGTGGTTTGGGTCTGTTCACATGACCTGCATATAAGCCAGAAATTTTTGCGTTTGGTAGCTGTATAGGAAAAAAGCTGAGTACTGATATCTCTAGAGATTCCTGCTTTTTCAGGCTTATGGAATGTTTGGGTGTTAATGCTGGGCTGCTTTTATTCTTACCAGACAGGGAGAACCTTATCAAGTAATCATTTGATAATGCCTTGTAGGAGTAAGAATTTGATGATTATCTTCATCTGATATTTTAGTGCATCCTGGACCCAGATACATCGGATCCCACTGACATCCTCACTGAACAAGCCAGAGATTTCTGCCAAAAGATTGGCAGTAAAGCCACTACAGTATCAGAGATTGTAGCGACAAGGGATCAGGCGATCTACCAGGCCATTCAGGAGGGAATCAACAAAGTCAACATGAATGCCACTAATAGGGTTCATTGCATTCAAAAATGGATAGTGCTGCCAAGAGACTTCTCTATTTCTGGGGGAGAACTAGGTAAGACTTGCTGCTTTTTTTTTTTGAAGCAGTCTTGCAGTATCTAAGAGGGGGCTATAAGAAAGAAGGGGCTTTAGCAAGGGCTATTGTGACAGTTCAATGGAAATAGTTTCAATCTAAAGGAGGGGAGAGTTAGGTTGGGTGTAAGGAAGTTTTTTACAGTAAGGGTGGTGAGGCTCAGGCATAAGATGCCCACAAAGCTGGTGGATACTCTGTCCATTACCCAAGGTCAGGCTGTGGGGCTCTGAGCACCTGTTAGAGCTGTGAGTGTCCCTGTTCACTGCAGGGAAGTCAGATGAGATGGCCTTTAAGGGTCCCTTCTGACTCAAATGATTCTGTGATTTATACTAAAGGTGTACACACAGTAGAGGGGCTTCTGATTCCTAAGTATCCAAATACAGTCCTATTTGTCAAATTCTGTATGTGAACATTGGATTGAAGGAAGAAAAATTAAGCAGCATCTACAGAATACAAAATCTGGAGTTTTTGCTTTGCACACATGTAGAAATAGGTGGTCATTTAAGTGAGTACAGCACTGTAGCTAAGTTTGAGATTGCTTTGGGTAATTATGCAATTCTAATTATTTTTTATGCATTAAAGTCTCAATAACTTCCAGTAATAATTCTGAAAAGTGATCATTAATAGCAATAAAAAAATGAGGACTAAATGAAAGATTGACAGCAGAGCCCAAAGCCATGTTATCTGCCTCTGTGAGTAAATTGGGAATTTACCCAAATTGGGAACAAAGTTTCAAAACCACTAGTCTTTTAATAGGAAAAAAATAAAAACAGTAGTAGTTAATAATCACCTGCTTATTTAGCTGCTTTTGAAGTGCTAACGATTACACAAAGGCAGCCATGTGCCACAACTGCTGCTCACTTTTGGCAGAAGTCTAAACTAATGAAGTAGGTGTTCTTCCAAACAAAGGCTCTGTAGCAAAAAATCCAAAACCAAAGCTTAAACCAAAAAATCCAAAACCAAAGCTTCAGGGTAGGAATTCTTGTTTCTATTTCCGCTTTTGTGATGAACTCCTTCTCTCAAGGTCCCACCATGAAGTTAAAACGGCTCACTGTGCTTAAGAAATACAAAAATGAAGTGGACTCCTTCTATGAAGAGTAAGAAGCCTTTCATCGGAGCATTAAGAAAGATTTGTAAGCTACAGGAAGTATTTCCTAATCCAAATCATTAAGGAAAACTAATGCTTGTTTTTATTTTGCAGTCATGCACTAGAAAGCTGCTATGTTAATTTAGTTATTCCCAATGCTCACCTGATAGTTTGTCCTGTTCTGTACAGTGTGCCCATTCTATAATATGTATTTTACATTATGCCCTAAATGAGCAAGATTAATGATACCCTCATAGGTTGTGTGAAGTGAGTATATGTTCTCTAGACTGAAACAGAAAAAGCAGTGATCTGCCCTTATAATTTTTCTGTTCTGCAGGAGGTTGCCTGGAGCTTATGTGGTAAATGAATAGTTAGTTTAGTAAAATTGTTCCACCACTCTGGATATAAAGCTGATCAGTTTTTAAAATAACAATAATAAAAAATCCAAGGCCTGTTTTCTTTCATCCTAGGGAAAAGTGTATTTCTGTTCACTAGCTCAGCATTTTGTAACCTTCTTCCGCTTCTGTACAAGCTAGACTTTTCTAAAAGCAGCAGGTCAGCATTTCTTAAATCCATGTTGAAATAAGCATTATTATTTCTCCTAAAACCAAACACTCAAAGTTGGGAAAACAAAAAGATACAAAGTAGGTAATATGGAAGCTCTCACCTCAAAGCACAATTAACACGTTTTAAGTAAGAGTACTGCAACTCTACTTGCATGTTTCAATACTGATGTTGTTCTAATGCTGACAAATGGGAGCATTTCTTCTTTCCCTTAGAAAATATAAATTGCTATATGAAGGGTTAAAAGGGCTGCTGACAGTTCAGTCAGTGGTGGCAGAGAGTTGTAATGGATAACAGCTAGGGAGTCTGCAGCCATCTTTCTTGATTTAAAACCAACTAACCATGCAGAGCAGAATATTGTTTCAATGGAAGTTTCACGATCAGTCTTAAACATCCTATAAACTTCAGAGTTTGTTGTAAGTGTCAGCAATCAGTTTAATGCATCAGACAAAGTAGGAGCCTGGGATTATCAAGACAACAAGCAGCAGGACTTCAAAAAGTTTATTTTTTCCCCATTTTGTGCGTAATGGTACTGCAAAAGGTCTTAAGATTAATCTAGAAGAAACAAGGAAGCAGCAGCTTGTAAAACACAAGGAAATGATACCCTATTCACCAAAAGCAGAGAGCACAAGAAATAAAGCTTACTGTCCCCCCTCCAACACGTTGTTAGGCTGTACAAAAAAGCTGGGTTGCTTACTTCATAGAGTTCTGCTAGAAGACATTATTCAAAATAGCTTTGATTCTGAAATAACCAGCCTGAACAGCCTCACTAGGAAGTAACCAAGAGGTGTAATACCCATAAATACAATTGAGCTTTAAGACATCTGGCTCTGGCAGTAGGTATAAACTTGTGTTAGCCACAAGTTTTACAAACGTGCATTTTCTTGAAGGATATACTAAAAGGAGCTGCATACCCTTAAGAAATTCAGGTCAGAATGGCTCATGATTACCTGTATGTGATGAAGAAGGGAGGGGGAAAAAAAAGAGGTGCTTTGGTGCTTATTAAGCTTAGGAAGCAGGAGAAGAAAAGGTCTCTGATCCCTGAATAGGGATGAAATGTATTTCTGGAACGTAGGCACCCAGAGCCAGATCTTCAATCTGTCTTCATTCCATTAGGACTAGTCTTTTACATTCAGAGTTTATAGAATAGAATCACTAGTCAGGGCAGTGAGACACACTGAGCAGGCTTCATAAAAACAAAGTATAACACAAAAAGCAATCCAGCAGAAGCCATGAAATATTTTGTATAAACTGGTGAAGTTAATAACTTCCCTTCATAATACAGAGCAGGAGTGAGTTTTTCTAATTTACTCTCGTTACAACTCTCTTGTAAATTAAGCTGTGTTTCAGAAAGGAAAACTTGTAAGAACTATTTTGATACAGATTTGAAAAATATCTTTGTTAATATCAGTTCTCACATCTGGCTGGTTTGATGTCTTTTTCTGTTTACATAAACAGATTAAATCTCTAAGATCTTGCATTTCTTTTTTGCATGCCCTTTGAAGGCAAAGCTGTATTTCATCAATCAACAGACACCTAGAAGTGTTTTGCTTTTAACACAAAATTGCTGTTGGAAATTAGTTTATACCCGTTTCTTTTTATAACGTTTGTCTTGTGCTCTTGTTAGGCCAAAAGCCTGTCCTTTAAATTTCAGTAAGACCAGTAACATAGCTCTAAGCATTAAGGTGCTGCAGCAATTCACTAGTTCTGGTTATGTTATATTCACATAATTTTTCTTTGTGAAAAATAAAAGCCATCTAGTTGAAACAGCAAATGGTACAGTTACAGTGGCAAAAAAATACTTCTCTTACATAAAAATGCTTACCAGGTAGAAATAAATAAAACAGAGCACTTAAAGTCCACTGAAAGCAGGCACAAGCATCATCTGTAGCCATGGGGACTAAATTTATTAATGAAGAGGCCTTCCCTATAAAGTTTGCTTTATAGAGATGAGCAAAATATACGCACAGAGATACCAGGTTACATACTGTATGTTTGTGATGCATCTTTTCAGAGTTAATACGGATCAAACGAGAAGTTTATTCTGCGTCCCGTACTCTGCTGCAGATCTCCTCTGTGAACTCTGAACACTTGGCATTACCTCCCAAGTCTTTTGTCAAAGCCTGAAGGAAGAACAAATGCTATCACTGTAATGTTTAATGGAGCCAGTTATACCACTGCACAGTCCTATCATCTATGTTTTGTACTGGTATTGGGTATAGGTGAGAAGGAATACATCGAGTCTGAGTTTCTCTGCATTCTACATCGCCTTCATCAACAGCAACAATGCAAACTGAGGCAGGTAGGGAAAAATGAGTAGGAGCATTGAGCGTTGTTATCTGAGCATTCAGATCTCAGTGAGATTTATCTTTTAACAACCCACAGAAGTGAATTTGGACAAAGCTATCCAAAGTCCCTATGGCCATATCATAATGTACTTAAGAGATATGGACTTAAGTCTTCCCTAATAAGTCTGTCTTGTGGAAGTAAAATTCATACATGATGGCTCAGTACAACGTCAACTAATTAAGAGAATGTCATTCAGTAATGCCTTGGGTATGAGGAAAAGCACACACACAGCTCTTGAAATGCTGCATGTTAACGGGTGTCCAAGTTTTTGCTTGGTTGAGTTAAGGGATTGAAAAACAGGTAGTTAAACTTTCTTTACTAAGGACAACTCCTTTCTGGCAGCATGGAGACAGTAAAATGAAAATAAATTGAAGTAGTCAATGTTGTTTGCCCAAACTAGACAGATTAAAAAGTTTTGAAAGGTAATTTAAAAATTGTTAGTGTTCCCCTTTTATCACATCCATGCAGATCTTAATTGAATGGTTTGGGGCAGGGATGAAGGAAAGAAAGGGCAAGCATGAAAGGCAATAAAGGTTACAATTTTAGGAACTTGTCATTTTGCTTTATGCTTTGCATTATGCTTTTTTCAATTCAAAAAGATTCTCTCCCTTGTGAGCATGTAATCACAACACAGTAAGCAACTAGTAAACAAGTAGCCATGTCACACAACTTGTGCTGTTATCTTCTGTACAATTACTAACCTGCAGATGGAAGATTTCATTTCCAGAGCAGTAAATGGGAACTGTACAGAAGCATCTCTCTATTCATTTGTAATTTTAGTGGTTTGTTTGTTTGTTTTTTAAACTGGCTCCTACACGCAGCAAGATAGCTGTAAGCAGACCACTTATGAAATAATGACAGTTTTTTGTTTAAGCATGCTTGTTCTTTTTCATTGCAAAGCAGCTTTGTATGCCTGTGCCCCAGATAATCACAGCAGCTGAACGCTGATTTTCCTTAAGGGCAATCTTTGGAATCTTTCCAATTGTATTTTGGAAAGGTGCACCCAACTACTTTAACTTCCAGCAGCAGCATTACATGCAGAAATTCAGATCAGGTTTCAGAGCACAACTCCTTCCCCTGCACCAATACTATCTGAGTCTTGAATTTGCAGGCAGGTACACCTGCACAAAGAAGTAATCACTGGATATCATTTTGCCTCTAACTTATTTTGTAATTAAAAAGGAGCTGAGGTAAATAGGAGGAAAGAGTAAAAGAAGTGACTTCAAAAACAGGAACAGAAGTATTAAGAGTCAGAATTGAGATGAGTGATTAAGCCTACATAAGGCAAATGACTGTCCTTTGCTCTAAGGTCTAGATTTAACTGTTAGTGCACCATAAACTTCACAAGGGAAATACCACTATTTACTCAGATCTCTAATCCCTTTCGTGGAAAACAGATTAGCAGTTCTAGCTTTTAGAGCTGCAAAAACTGAGGCAGGAGGAGAGCTACAGAGCATCCCTGTTGCTGAAGAGGGCAAACTTAATACCACCAGAGGTAACATAACAACAATCACAGAACAGCAGCAGTACTGCTCATGTGATTCAGGCCGGCAAAGCAGGGCATCTTTTGTCTTAGCGTTAATGTTCTGAGTTAATTTTTGTTACAACAGGGTATCATTTGAATACATTCATACATCAGTTTTATGTATTTGCATGCTCTTATATTACCTTTCCATCTTTAATTGTATTAAAGCAAGCTGTCTCAATTTTTGTGGCATGCTTGTGTAATCCCATATGACGCAGCATCATTACAGCACTCAGGAGAAGAGCAGTTGGATTTGCCAAGTCTTTTCCTGCAATATCAGGTGCTGTTCCATGAACCTAGAAAGAAAAGTGAATCTGTCTGTTACAAAGTTAATATGGCGATTAACAGAGGACATTTGAAACATAATCCTCACACACAAGCATGCTGAAATGGAACTTACTTCACAGGGATATGTTTAATGGAAAGAAAGATAAGAGAGAAAGAAGATAGGAGAGAGTGGAACAATTCAGTCCAAAGGCATTAGAAAAGGGGAACTAGTTCAGCTAGTGCTTCTTAACTTCTATTTCATTAAGTGTTCAAGAAAGAGGGTGAAAGTGCCAATAAAAGCACGTGCTAAAACTTACATGTAACACATGCTTTATTCTTTTAGTAAAACTTCAGAATCTTAGCAGTAAAACATAGCTTTACAGAGAACTACTTTTTAATATACCTACATTGTGCATCTTGGACAAGCTTTTAGATTCTCGAGTGGAGACAAAAGTAGTTATTACTACTACTTGATCAGTTTGAATCTTGAGTAAGAAGACTTACCGATTCAAAAATTGCAACTCCGTTAGCACCAATGTTTCCACTTGGTGTTACTCCAAGACCACCAATCAATCCAGCACACAAGTCACTGGAAAAAAAAAATCCTTATGTTTTTCCATGTAGTTGCTTCTCAGAGCTGTATTAAATTATCTTTGTTTCTCATTTTACTGCAACAGTAACCTACTCTAACTACCAACAAGAATAACACTGAGAAAGAACAGATGCTGTTAGCCTCTTAC